GCTTCCTCTCAAATTTGATGGCCCAAAGCCAACAAATATCTCTCCCACCGAGCTAATTCAACAGCATGCCGACAATCTATCGTGGCGTGTCGTCGACCGTGCGACAAAAACTGAATCCGGATTGAACTTGACATTTTCGCAACTTGTTAAAATCATCGAAGACGCGCGTTTCGATGATGATCAAGGAAGCATCGCTCCCATTCCGTTGGAAAATAATACTGACAATGATAAAAAGAGAAATATTCCTAAACGTACCCCAGATCCTGAACACGTCGAAAATACCGATGCTGACTCTTACATAACCGTAGGACATATAGGTTCTGGATGCACTGGAACATTGATCGGGCCTAATGCGGTGTTAACAGCGGGTCACTGTGTAAGTTGAAAACCGTAGAGCTCACCTTTTTTGCTCATTCGTTGCGATTGAAATATTTACCGTCGAGTTAGGTATATGACGGCACCAATTGGTATGGAAACCTTGATTTTTCCCCCGGTCAAAACGGCCCAGACCCGGATCCAAACGACCCAGACTCCGATCCAAAATTCGACAAGATCAACTGGATTCAGGTATGGTCAGTGAAAGGATGGTAAGAACAAGTGGCGTTTTATTATCACGATGGCAATCTTCATGTGATTTCAATTTCTTAAGACTATCTGTTGATTGAAAGGACCGAGCATCAAAATCAAAATTACGACTATGCGCTGATTATTTTCAGGAGTTGGTTGGTATGTTATTATATTTTCTCGAAAAAACTTATATTTTGACGAGATGTTTTCTTTGATTAGGAGGGTTTTCGGTTGGAATAACAGAATCAACACTGGCTGGCGATTCAATTGGGAAGGATATCCGGGAGATAAGGTGACTAATTTTAGACTAGTACAAAATCGGTTCTATCATACTCACATTGCTCATTATAAACACAATAAGCCCCACTGGACTATGTGGCATGAATTCTGCCCACGTCTACGTGACGTTGACGAACTACTATTTGAACATTTTGGCCATACTGGTATGTAACGATATATTTGTTCGCTATATAAGAAGAGGCGTTATAAAACTCATCTACTTTTAGCCAAAGGTACGTCTGGCTCCGGTCTGTATCTCTTCCTCGAGCCAGATTTTCTAAGAATATACGGAGTAGTGTCACATCATGTTGTTAGGCTAAGTTTTCCAGGTATGTGAGGGGCAACAGTTACTTTAAAACTTTTAAAACAGTTCTGATCTCACATATCATTCCTGGTTACGTAGATTTTTGGCATTTTAATAAGTTCAATACTGCAACACGTATAACTAAGTGTCGGTTCTATCTAATATGGTAAGACTTTGAGAAAAACGAAAAGCATGTTAACTTGCGCACGAATAATACGTCTAACTCAAGTTTAACTCATTTCTTAGTGGTTGGATGTCTTCCAATATTTGTTGATAAGCCAACTCATTTTAATCAAATATTACATATGCGATTTTATGATAATACGTATTTGAAATCAGCAGAAAATTGAGAAAGATTTTATATGCCTTTAAAATGGTAAAAAGGTTCCGAGAAAACAGTCATAATATAGCAGGGAAATTTGATTTCGAACGCCACTATTTTCTTTTGTAATAAATTTTTATTATTGACTTCAATTTTTCTGTTTGGTTATTTATTAATATATTCCGCTCTTGTTTTGTTTTTTAAATGGGAGGAGCTGATAGTTATAATTCACTATACGTATCTTTTATATTTGCTTCATTTGCTGAGAAGAAAATTAAGATTCCATCCTTTTCAGATTCCTTCATGATTCAACGAAATTTTCTATTGTGAATATATTCTTGTATTGTCGTGAAAATGCATTATTTTAAGAATGTAAATCCTCATGACAATTGAGGTTATTTTTTAATTTATTTGACAGTCATAAAAATATATTATAATCGTGGGTCTAGCACATAAATTTTTCAAAGAAACAATGGTATTATGGTGGAAAAAAACCTATCTCAGCAAATTAGAAACAGTTATCTATTCGAGATTTTTTTCGCGCTTTTCATTTCTCATTTTTTAAGAAACCAAGTAAACTAGAAAATTTCTTATTATTGATCTAAATACGTACGTACGTACTGTATATCGAGATTGAACGATGACCAATCAAAATTCATGCACAATTTTATAGCATTTACACAGACCATAACCACCTCTATTAAATTCGTCAAATACTCCAATCGAAATCCCAACTAAATCCTTTGAGGATCTCTAAAATTTAGATCCCACGATTCAACTCCACACCAATGAATCATCGTTTTGAAAGGAGTACTGGGAGTAGGAAAACGTATCCAAACAGGAATCATCTCACAAAAAATAACTTAAGGAATTCTACTCGGACCGAAATAGATGTCGCAACAACTGGAAAAACCACACGATGTGATAATCTTTGACAGATCGATAATGTCCAGAAAATTATTTTGCGAAGTAAACCATGAACGAGGGAACAGGGTCATCGAACAATTATTGCTGAAAGAAACTTGAAATTCTAAGATAACTGTGGTAATACACCTCCAAACAACAATCGAAAATAACACCCGAAACCTACCAGACCAACCAATGAAAAGAACTACAAATTGGAGGTGTATAATCGAAAACTGAAAGATAAAAGATGTATATACAATTTTATCTCTTCTTAAAATAAAAGCTCCATGTACTTTACTTAGTTGGATAATTTACGCGATACCAAATACACGTGCATATATTTGGTATCGCGTAAATTATCCAACTAAGTAAAGTACATGGAGTTAATACACCAGGTCTAAACTGAATTGTGCTTTAACAAAGTTCTTTAAATATTAAATTTTAATGTACAATACAGTATGTATAAATAACGTTATTATCTCAGAACAATACGACTTGTTCGCTTATTAAAGAAACGAGTCTGCCTGCAGCGGTAACACATTACGCCTTTTTTCACAAAAGATAATACGTATTATAATCTATACAATGCATGACGAAATGTTTCTTGCGTAATTTTCTATACCGCTGGAAATAAAAAAATCAACAAATATATATTACCCTTCAGCATCTATAAATCTCGAAATTTTACTTTGAAATCGTCGACTAAAATTTCAGTTGTTTGATGTACCCTTTTATTTTTTCCAATTCCTCTAGGAATATTAACCTAATTGAACGAATTGATTTTGTTTATCAATTATGTTATAAATTTTTAGAGGCATGGATTGAGAGACTCCGAGTTATCGGAAAAGTAATTTAATTTAATTAAGCTAATATATATGTGTAATTTTGTAACTCATATGACAGGGTAAGAGAATTAATTTGAACTCGTTGCCTTACTGAAAAAATAGATTATTGGAGATAATCCCTAATATACTTTTTTGTAAGCTCCTTGATACATGGATTTGTCTTCTGAGGGTTTATATTTTTTTTAAAATTACTCGAACTTGCTCAACCAGGACATCACAGGTTTCTCGATTATTTTTAAGTCTTTCTGCTTGCAAAAATTGAGTCGATAACTAATGTAGCAGCTTTTAGACCGGGTACCAATGTTTCACCGAGTTTTGTGGCGAAAATTGTAATGTCTATGGACTCTTTGACACCATTCGAAGAATCAAGAGATGGGGATGACATTATCGATTGATTGTCGGCATGCTGTTGAATTAGCTCGGTGGGAGAGATATTTGTTGGCTTTGGGCCATCAAATTTGAGAGGAAGC